TAAATTGGGTAAAGAGCTATTTCAATAACCGAACACAATTTGTTCAATATAACAAATTTTCTTCTGCTCGAATAGCCATACAATGTGGTGTACCCCAAGGGTCAATATTGGGCCCACTCTTTTTCATCCTTTATATTAATGATCTTCCAAACGCCTCACATTTAGGCAAACCACTATTATTTGCAGATGACACCAGCATTTGTTATGCTAGCTCCGATCCCATAGTATTAGCTACAGTATTAAATGAGGCATTACTAAATATTAGTACATGGATGAAAGCTAACAAACTCTCTGTCAATATTGATAAAACCATAACTACATCATTTTCCAACCAACCCAAAAGAAATCCACGTATGAAATTCTCCTTCTTCTTGATGACAGATTAATCACACAAAAGAAACAGATCAAATTTCTTGGGGTCCTTTTAGATGAAAATCTCTCATGGAAACCTCATATAAATTACGTATGCAAAAAAGTTTCGAAGTCTATCGGTGTAATATACAGAGCTCGTTTCAACTTGTCGAAAAGTACTAAATTGTCGTTATATTATTCCTTAATCTATCCATATCTTATCTACTGCAACACAATATGGTCGTCTACATATGTTTCTAACTTAAAACGGTTACAAATTCTACAAAAGCGAATAGTTAGATTATTGACTAGTTTGAGCTTTTTGGCTCATACTGCTCCGCTTTTTAAAAAATTGAAAATACTTGATATCAATAGGATTAATTCCTTTTGTACAGGTATATTCATGTATTCCTACCATAACAAATTACTTCCACCCCCCTTTCTTAACTTATTTAGCACCAGCAACCAGTTTCATAATTATAATACTAGAAACGCTGACACATATCGTTCACATGCATGTAGAACTAATATAAAACAATTTACTATGCTTTCACGAGGTCCAAAACTGTGGAATTCGCTCCCTGACACCGTTAAGAATGCAGGGACGTTAAATTGCTTCAGGAATAGAATACGAAAATATTTACTTCAATGTTAAGCCATATATAACTGCGTTCACTAGCTGTCGCAATTGTTTTAACAAAATACTTTTGATATATATACTTTGAAAAGCTTCAAGGAGATATCCAAATTATAAGCCTTATGGTTTCTGGATAACTCCTTGCCACTAATATAACCACTGTAAATATAACAACATAAATTACCATTATATAAACAGTAACAGTATATTAGAAATCTGAAATATTGTAAATGGTATTGGTGGCTAATAAATCTTTATCTTATCTTATCTTATCTTATCTAGACAACAAGACAAAACGTTTTGACGATGATTAGCTTTGTTTATACTTTGTAGTTTGCACTTTGCACTCCTGGCCAAAATTCAAAATGGCGCATTCAAAAGGGCACACACGGTGAAAAAGTGGAGACATGATTCGTCATCAGCGCGCATTCTATGTCTATTATTTCTATGAATTGACCTCGTCTATGACCAACCTCGTACCCAGGGCCTTTGCGCGGTTCAGAGGCTCTGGTACGAGGTTGGCCTCAGTGACCTCGTTGTCCACAGTCGCCTCACTTCACAGTCGCCTCGTTGTATCGAATCACTTTGCGTCCGACGCAAAAACCATACCGGACCGGATAGGATTTCTGTTTACACATGAAATGTTGTTTATATCGTCTCAATTTCTGCAACGAACCGGTGGTGCGTTACCCTGGATCAGGGGGACTATGAATCAAAACTCGTCTGCCGGCACCAGAAAACCTCTGAACCCAGGGTAGTAGTGCGGTGATTCGCTCTTCGAAGTGGTGCGCGGTGTATCGGATTGGTTTTTGCAACGCTTCATTCTAATGTAAACACCAATCGGAGCAATTTTCGGTTCAATGCGTAGATAGATAGATAGATAGAAAAACTTTATTTACCCACGCTAACCCTGTCAACCGAAGCTGATTTCCACAGGGGGTGTGTAAGAAGAAAATTACAGTAATAGGAAAGAGATGACAGTAGTGAAACGTAGTTACATGAATAGTTATTTACAAATAGTAGAAATAGTATTAAGAAGTACAAATAGTATAAAAATAGTATAATAGTTTATAATAGTTATTTACAAATAGTAGAAATGGTATTAAGTAGTACAAATAATATAGAAATAGTATAATGGTTATTTACGAATGGTAGAACTATTGGTATATTTATTTAGAAAATGTGAGCAGCAATATTTTTTTGAAAGCATGACAGAGATTTGCTTTCCCTAATTTCATTTGGAATAGAGTTCCATAGCTTAGCACCATCATACATGAAACTATTTTTCATGCTATTGGTGCGTGGTTGTGGCAGACAAAGGCCACTTGAAATACTTCTGAGTCTATAATTTGTTATCTCATTTTTATAAGTAAAGAGGTTTGTGAGAGATTCGGGGTCTATCCCATTTAGAGTTTTGTACATCATTGTTGCTTTTGCCTTTTTTCTCATGATATGAAGTGGCTTCCACCCTAAGGCACATAAAGCAATAGAATGATCTGCATCATTGCTCATATTTGAAATAGTTCGAGAAGCTCTGTTTTGGAGCTTTTGTAGTCGTTTAGATTGTATTTCCCCAAATACATCCTAAACTTCAGAACAATAATCGAAGTAGGAACGTACGATGGCATTGTATATGGAGATAAGTGTATCTCTTTTAGCAATAAATCAGTGGTTTGACACGACGTAGAGCTGAGATTCCTGATCGGTTCTTTTTTTGCAAATACTTTCGGTATTAGGCTTCCAAGATAAATGCTGATCAATTGTTGTTCCCAGAGTTCTCGATTTATTAACTTGCTGGATTTGTTTGTTTTCAATTAAAATATTTGGTTGAGAATTTGAAGCATTTCTTATCATTTGTGGAGAGCCAATCAACATAAATTCTGTTTTAGCCACATTCAAGCTAAGTTTATTGGCCATTAACCAGTTCCTAAGGTTTTCTAGATCAGAATTTACTGCAATCACAATGTCAGCTATGGAGTGACTAGAGGCTGTGAGGTTTGTATCATCAGCGAATAGCCGAGGTCTTGTATTTTTAAGACACTCGGGTAAGTCGTTGATGTACAGCAAGAGCAGCAATGGTCCCAAAATAGAACCTTGTGGCACACCACATTTAATCAAGTGTTCTGATGAAACAAAACTTTCTACTCTGAAACTTTCTACGATTTGAAACTCGATTTGAAAGATATGATTTTAATAGGTCAAGAGCTTGACCTTTTATTCCGAGTTTTATTCCATAAAATTCCAGCTTTTTCAGTAGAATGTCATGATTGACAGTATCAAATGCTTTCTTTAAGTCTATAAAAACCACGAGGTTAAACATTTTTTATCTATATTCATATACCAGTCATTAGTACACTCTAAAAGAGCTGTTGCTGTAGAGTGAGATTTTCGGAAACCAAATTGGGCACCACTTAGTAGTTCAAATTCAGTTAAATAATTGTAAAGTTGATTGTATAAAATTCGTTCCATTATTTTGCTTATGGTTGGTAATATCGAAATGGGCCTATAGTTTCCAGGTATATTTCGATGGCCACTCTTGTAGAGAGGTATAACTCTTGCCATTTTCCATTCATCAGGAAAGGAGGATAGAGTAATAGCCTGATTAAAAATATATGTCAATGAATCTGCTATGACTATTGCAGCTATCTTTATAATTTTACATGATATTTTGTCAAGTCCAGTTGCTTTGTTGCTAGATAATCCACTCACCAACTGATAAACATTATTAAAGGGTATGGGCAATGAAAATTGCTTCATCTATCTTATTGTTTCATCTGAAAGAGCATGAAAAAATAAGCCGATTGGCCGTTTACTGCTCTATTCTATCTCATCTGGTTCTGAAGTTATACGCAAAAATGTGCAAAATATAAATTGCTGCTTCAGCACAATGTGTGACGTCATAAGCTGGGTAAGTATGTTTATTGAATAGTAAACTAAAGCATAGCTGAGTTATTATTGGCTCAAATCAAATCAAATTTTGCATACAGATAGTACATGATGAGACGCATGGGAAAATACTTCTAATTTCGTTGTTAAGGCAACACAGTCGTTCCCAGGCCCCTTATACTGATTTTGAATAACTAGTTGCATTTCTCTATGTGTACGTCATTTTCGAATTATTATCATGCAAGTATAAACTTTCGGCATGCATAGGTATCGCACACATACTTCTGATATTATTTTATTTCTATCAGTACCTTGAAAAAAGCCGTTTTATAAAATTGGCGCAAGGGGCCTGGGAACGAAATTGTTACCTTGGCAACAAAATTAGAAATGTTTTTACATGCGTCTCATCATGTACAATCAGTATCCAAAATTTCATTTGATTTGGGCCCATAATAACTGAGCTATGCTTCAGTGTAATATTCAATAAACATACTTACCCAGCTAATGACGTCACACGTTGTGCTGAATCAGCAATTTATATTTTGCACATTTTTGCGTATAACTTCGGAACTAGATGAGATAGAATAAAGCATTAAACGGCAAATCGGCTTATTTTTTCATGCTCTTTCAGACGAAGCAATAAGATAGATGAAGCAATTTTCATTGCCTGTACCCTTTAACAAGCCAGAACTTTATGGCGGTTTGAAGGCATCGAAAAAACTTGTGGTTTTTCATAATTAATAAATGTCCCTCTCAGTCTCAGCTGATTGTGTCAACCGTTCCTGATTTTTTCACTTACATAAAAATCTCAGCAGGCTTGCAAATAATTAGGTTTGACAACGACTTTGAAATAAAGACGACATACTACTTTGAATTTTGTTATTTTGTTTAACTAGCTCGAAATTGCGGGAATCACTGAGTATTTTAGTTAAATACAATGCAACATAGTAATTCCGAAAACAGTAAACATTTTGAAAAGTGGTTATTCAACGTTTTGACTAGATTTTAGTCATCATCATGAACGATGAAATTATTACATATCAGTATATATACACAAGTGAAGAAGCATGAAAAATACTATCAGTGAGATTACCAAAATCCTAGTGATATTACTTACTCATTGACTTTGTCAGTGTTTGATGGCAATGCTAAAGACATTGTATCATATACTGTCCAATTGATTACCATGTGAACACCATGTCAAAGGCTTGGTGAAACCCACCTATATCTAGCAGTATAGGCTAAGTACTGTTTAATAAACTCGCAGGAGTGTTTTATTAGGTTTAAAGACACGAGCGCGCAGCGCGACTGGCTTTAGACCTAATAAAACACGACCTGCGAGTTTATTGAACGGCTTCAAACACGACTACAAATTCAATAGATATATCACTTTATTAGTATTCTTTATATAAAGAATACTAATGAGGACACGACTACAATAGATACCGCCTTATTACTTATTAGTATTCTTTATATGAAAAATACTAATTAGGAGTGTTTTATCAGGTTTAAAGCCACTGCACATGACATATTATGGTTGACATGAATTGCCAATAAGCTTATGAATAATTAATGAGTGTTTGAACTTGTTTTTATGACAAGGCCAACCAGTCTGACTAGAAAAACGTGCAATTTCTGACTATATGTTGTGTGTTACTTGTCCCAGTCTCCCGTGCTTGAAAAACCGAAAGAAGAATGGAGCTGAAGTATGACACTATCACAATGACGATGATGAAGTTAGCCAACACGTGTCGTTTCCAGTACTTCGTCCAAACGCGACCAACTGGAATATTGTAGTAATGAATTTGCACAAAATTTGAAAGGCAATTGAAAAAGAAGTCGATTCCCAGGCCAATTGTAACTCTAGTTAGGGATTCATAAAGGAAAGATGACACCGAAAGTTTAAAAGTTTCTACAAAGTACAACACGAAGTAACCTTGGCTTAAAACAAGTGTACTGTATTCAAAAAGCATATCTTGAATTTCTAAGTCAGCTTTTAACCGTCTGTAATGGGGTGTATTCTGAGGCAATTCATTGATCTTTCGACAGCAAACAGTTCGATTCAAAAGTGAGATAATGTATGTCCACATTTTGATCCGTATTCGATAGGTCGCCTTTTCCAAAAAGTTCAGAAAACCAGAGAACAGAGATAACCCAATAAAGAGCCAAATGTTTTTCAAATCGGCTTGCATTGTGCGGTATAAGAGTATGACGCCACCTCGGATAAAGTATACCAGGACAAAACTCCGGCCAGGGTCTACAACCTCGGAACTTCGTCTCAACGCTATGTGCTTACAAATCACAGCAGGGATAATGGTTAATCCTGGCACCAT